CGTAGCAAGACTCATCTGGTTGAGTGAGGTTTGTGCAGCACCAAAAGGAGGTCACCCAGGGGATCAGCTTGTTTTTCATTTCCTTAATGTCAGTGTGGGGTGAGTGTGACGCCTGGAACGTGACACATTAGAGCGACTGAAATCAGGTTGCTCCCACCAAGCTCTGACTAAGCTGGGGAGGAGCTCGTGAGGCTTCACACCGTGAAGGTCCCCCTGGCCCCTCAGGAGGACACAACCACTCGGCTGAGGGCACCAGCCCTGCAGGTCAAAGCCCAGCACACCCATGAAGCTCAGCACCGGTGGGAGATCTGTGCTGGCTCCTTCACCCCAAGTACTCAACTAAGAGGTGGGAAGGAGAATCCAGGAGGTCCCTGTATGTCACTGGAGGATGGGCTGAGTTTGGTGGCATTGTATCTGCCTGCAATAACACTGGGGGTGAGGGCTTGCCATGAACCACCCCACTCCTCAGAGTTTGGGGATGGGTATTTGAGACTGTCAAACTACATTTACCCCAAAATTCTGATGTGAGAGGTTATCTGGGAACGGATCTGTGTGAAATAACCACGTTCTCATCAGACCCCGAGGAGAGGAAGGAGTAACAAAAGAGGCCACACCTGCACTGAGAAACCCTGGACCTCCAGGGAAGCAACTGCATCCACTCCCCATGCTCCCACCGTGCCAGCTGTGGCCATGCCAGGATGCAGCATGGGCAGGAGACTCTCTAAAGAGAGAGGTGGCTTGTGACAGGGTTAAAAGGGAAGAACAAATGGGATGGGGATGGTACAAGGAAATTTTAAGAGAATTAGACAGAGAGGAAATGTTCTTCCTTATTATAATTTAAGTCCGTGCACTTGCTTAATTAATTGAATGTATGGTGCACAGTATGCAGATAAAAAATGCACCCAAACTATTTTTAACACAGTTAAAAAGGCGCATTAGGGTTCTAAATTCTAAATAGGAAATGCAAGAATTATGTTGGTTCCTGAGGACACAGTTTTAAAAGTGCCTGAATCCAGGATGTTTTCTTGCCACTGCCCCAAATCCAGGCCCCTCCTCTTCAGAGGCCAAGTATGAGCAGCTCACCCACAGATCAGCAAATGGGCTTCCAGACACATCAGGCTATGGAGGTGCCCACTGCAAGTACCTTGCTTAGACTGGCCCAGAACACAGTGGTCCCTCCTGAAATAAAATCACTTTCAAGTATTGCAGCCCTTCCAACTCAGCACCTCTGAGCACAGGACAGGTTACAGTAACCAAGGTAAAAGGGATAGAAGGAGGAAAAAAACACTTAGATTATTCAAAGAAATAAAATCAAAAAATTTTGGAAGCCAGCTGCTTCCTTGTGCACAAAACTGCCTCAAGATCCGAGTGCTGCTGCATCCCTCAAAAATCCTGATCTGCTATTTAGACACAGCTCAACTTTTCAAGTTTCAGCTCAGCCTTGAACAGAATGAGGCCACGTGCTGCATCGTTAAGGATCTGCCAGAAAAAAAAAAGGGTGGGGAGAGGAATAAAAAAGAAAGATGATGAAAGAAATACCGGAATACCGAGAGATGATGGATAGGGGAACCAGAGTCCACCTCCAGCCACACTCAAAAATGGGGCCCACCAGGCTCAGCTGTCCATGGGGCAATGCAAAATATATAATACATATGATCTGTATACACACAGCTCCCATGAGCAGGTCACCCAGTTGTGTCAGTGTAGGAAGAGCTATTAAGTATAAAAATGCATCCTAACACAAAAATATAAAACTGTGCTTTTGCTCACAGCACTTTTAGAGAGGTAACATTTGAGATGAGACCACATTAATGAGTTGGAGTTGGGGGTGAGGAGGGAAATGGGGGAGTTCCCCTGGTTTGAATCTTCTTGGTTCCTTATGCATGAAATGGTGTGGAAGGGAATGAGCGACAACAGAAAGAGGTGGGGGAATGAAATCAGATGGATTGGATCTGGGATGCAGCATTGGAAATAAATGCAACCTGCACGGGTATCTCAAGGCAGAGCATCGATCACTTGGTGCAGAACCTACCTGGGAAATGGGCCTCTGCAGACAGGCATTTGTCAGAGGTACTGACCCAGAGGCACCTCTCATATTTGTTAAAGCATCTCCATGCTGGGAGAGTCCCTACAGTTTGTGTTCTGGCATTGGGTGCAGGGAGCAGCACAGTGGCCTCGGAGCAGCTCCACACCAAGAAATGCAGCTGGGTCTATAAGCATCTCTACAAGCTAAAAACCCAGCTTTGCAGGGTCACAAACTCATTCACACTGGAAATAGCTCCTAAAGCTTCCTGCAAGAAAGTCCCTGTGAGTAGCAGGAGCAGAGAAATAGGGGTGCTGGCAGGTGGGGTCGGGGTGGGGGTCTGACTGAGCCCAAGACAGTAGCAGAACAAGGCACCCTCATCCACAGTCTTTTTCAGGACTCCCATTCCTGCAGCATGGGAGCTAAAGGTGCTTTTGTGCTCAAGGCTTTGGCACAAAATGGGGTTTGGGGCAGGAGGAGACAGAATGACCCCAATAGCACAGGTAGGGCACTGCACCGGCCATTGGGACATCTGGATGGTTCCAGCTCTTCCATACAAACTTTATGACCTTGAGCCAGTCTCATCATCCTCCCATATCTTCAAATATGCAGCAACTAAGCTTTTTATCTGTCCTGTCTGGCTGGCTTAGAGACTTCCAGTTACAGAAACCCAGGAAAGCCCCTCCCTGCCCCATTCCAACACTCACAGACCTGACACAGGCCATGCCGGACTCACCCGGGCAGCAAAGGCTGATAACTGGTGCATGAGCTTATCCTGGGGACTTTGTATGAAGTTTACCAAATCCTTCAGCTCTTTAAATAACAAAACAGAAACTGCCAAGGCTAAACCTATCGTATGTACAGTTCAGAAGACTGGAATTCATATAACTTCCCAATACACCATAAAAAAAATAATGATATCACCAATGCTTCACAGACGTTGGGGCAATTCCCACTCCAGCCCTGAATTCGGACTTTCTTTCCCAGCATGTGCATGGGTGGGGATGGTTTTCAATGGCTCCATGTGTTGTCACAGCAGACTCAAGTAGAGTCACGAGCCCAGAAGAAACACAGCTGCTTGGGCTGGGAGAACCAATGGGCACCCCAGCTTGGCACTGGGAACAGATCTGTTTGGGGTAACCCTGCTCCTGCCCTGGGAGCACTCCTGGCTGCCCAAGCAAATGCCACCTCAGAGAGCCAAACAGGTCAGAAGTTAAGATACAGTAGCTGAAGAAGCCAAAGTTGTTTATAAAGCTCTTACAGTCAGGGCTACCCCTGCTGCTTGTCATTTGGCTTTCAGCCCCTTCCATCTCTATCACTGCCACCCCCGTGTCCCAAGCTGGGCTCTCACCTGTGTTTCACAGTGTACAGTGCACGTTGCACGACATCCCCATCCCTGGCACACGCACAGGGAAGCTCCCAGCTCACAGCGTGGATGCTCGGCCCCTCCACACAATTCTGGAAGGTTTTGTGACACAAACCACCTACAACTCCAGAGGATGGCCAGAAGCACAAAGGATGCTCAGGGTGCCCAGGACTGGACTCATCATAGCTGCAACTGAGCTCCACAGATGCTCTCTCTTCTCCTCTCCTGTTTCCCTTGGGGCACAAGATCCCCCAAGGACCCGAACTTGCAGCAGTGCAAGGAAAAGCTTCCCTTTCCACCCAGCCAGGATCTCACCTCTCCGACCAGTCCCACTAACACCTCCCTGGAAGCCTCAATGTACAATGTACAAAATGGCTGAGGACCAGAAAGCACATCCCAACTCCTTATCTCACAATAGCATAACACCAAAAGGATGGCAGGGGGGGAAAAAACAGAAAAGGCCCCAAAAATCCTCCTGCCGGGGCTGACAGAGGCCCTGGTCATGATGAAAAACACAGAAACAAAAAAAAACCAAACCAACCATTGACACCAAGGGCATGAGCACTCCAACCTGAGCCCAGGCCTGCAGAAGAGCCTGGTGGGACTGTGGAAAGTCCCAGAGGGAAGGGAGTTGCAGTAACACAGCGATTTATCTTGACCCTTTGCAGTCCTGGGAACAACGGGAAGTCATCTGCTCTCCTATGCAGCAATGCCTCAGAGATGGGCATCCTTCTGCCAAAGGAGGGTCAACTGGGCCATTTCTGCCTAAAACCCGGTGCCGGGGGGGAGATGTGCACCCAGGGATGCTCCTTTGTTTACCGCTCGGCTCTGTGCAGGCAGGGAGCCCCAGACACTGATTAGCATTTCTTTCTAGACACATCTCCAATTCAGCCGCTTCCCACGGAGGGACAAGAAATACCTCCAGAACCCTGAGCAAAGCCCCAGAACCAAACCCATCCCCAAACCCTCCTCAGCCACCCAACATGCAAAGATGGGGCCGGGGAGGGGAAAGGATGCTGGGGGGGGGGGGAGGGAGGAGAGACAGTGCCTGAGCAGAGCTTTTTGTTCCTCTGCTCTCAGCATTGCTATGGTGATTTCAAGCAAGACGGAGGAACAGTCGCTACCCGTCACTCCCGCTGCTCCAGCCCCCTGCACCGACCGCATGAGCAGCCCCTTCCCCCGCAAGCAGGAGCGGGCAGGGGGAACAGGGTGCATCGCACCTTTCCGAGGAGCCAGCTCTGCAGGGGCAGCTTCTCCCCCCACCCCCCTTCCCTCATGGAGATCGCCGCCTCCCGCCCCGTCCCCGGGCACCGCCTGGGCTGGGGCGAGGGATGCAGGATGCGGGATGAGGGATGCGGGATGCAGCGGCGGCCCGGTCCGGCAGCCCGACTGCTCTGGAGGGGGGGAGAGGCTCAGCCTCCGCCCCCCGCAGCATCCCCCGGGGCTCCCCAGCCAGCCCTGGCACCCGGCATCCCCTCCCCGCACCCGCTCTGCAGCTGGAGCATCCTCCCTCCTCGGCGCATTTAGGGGGCTGGGAGGGGTGGAGGAGGGCAGACCGAGCAGAGGGGGAGTCTCTGCCGTCAGGTTTGCCCCCCACCCTTTTTTACTCACACGTATGCGTGGTAAATGAAAGCCCATCCCCGCGGTCTCTCCAGCACATTGTAGAGGAAATTCTGCAGCTTGCGGTAAAAAGCATTCCTTTTGGGGGGCTTCCCGCTGCCCGAGACCCCGGAGCGGGGCTTGCTGAGGATGCTGCCCCGCTTGGAGCTCTCGGAGCCGGCGATGAGCAGCGCTCCGTCCCGGCTGGAGTCCGGGGCGCCCGGGTCCAGCCCCACGAAGCCCACCTTGAGCTTCTTCTCCGCGGCGGGGCCCGGGTAGACGCCTCCGTTGCGGGATTTCTGCACCATGGTGGCGGCGGGGGGGAGGGCGGCGGGGCCGGGGGCGGCGGGGGGCTCCGGCGGGGGGCTCCGCCCGCGCTCCCCGCCGCTGCTCCGCGCCCGGCGCAGCCGAAGCCGCAGGAGCCGCTGCAATCGGCTCCGCCAGCGCCGCCCCGCCGCCGCCCGCCCCCTTAACCCTTGGCATCCCCCGCCGGCGGCAGCACCTCGCGCTTCCCCCCCCCCCTCCCCGCCTCCCAACTCCCCAGAAACCCGGGTTTGCCACCTGGGTTTTCCCCTCCCCAGCCAAAAGAAGAAAAAGCGGCTCCGGCCGTTCCCCACCAAGAAAATCAGGATCTGGCATTGTTCCCCCAAATGCGTTGTTTCCCCCTCCAGCATCCCCCTCTCAATTTAAGGTCCGACATCTTCATCCAGCACAGTGTCCAGTGTCCCCTTCCCAAACCAGGCTATGGGATCCCCCCCAAAATCACCAAGGAGTGGGCTCCTTCTGCAAGAGCCCCATGGGAAGGGCTGGGCAGCACCCTGCCCATGGGATGTCCATGCCCGTGGATTCGATGTGGCCCCCCCGGCAGCGGGTGCAGACATTGCTGCAGCTTCCCAGGAAGGACTCAATCTGTGTCCCATCTCCACTTGGCCACTTGGCCACCAGACCTGCTCACCCTCACCACAAATCCCTATGTGCAAAGTCATTCCCTTTCTCCACACTTCCTGAAGGTTCAACCTACCACCTTAGGACTTGGAAACCTAAATTTTCAGCTTCCTTTATGCCCTGAAGCTGCACCATGATGGGGTGGGGTCACCGAGTTACCCAGGGACCAAGCTCTCAGCATAGAATGCCCATCTGCAGATGTGCTAACCCAAATCAGCTCTTTAACACCCCACTGCTTATGGTCCAGCTGCACCATTTCCTCCCCATGGCTGGTTCTGCCCCAAGCAATACTTCTACCTGACCTTCCCACCTTCACAGGACTCAGGAGAAGAGAAATAGGCTGCAGAAGCCTGAGGTAGGGCAGAGATACCTGCCCCACACAGTTATCCTCCATGGAAAGAGTTCATTGCACTGTAATGGGAAGACCTGCAATCAAATAAGATCAAGCCCAGCATCATCAATTCCTATGCAGTGACTTTTCTATCCCTTACAACCCAACAAGTCACAGATAATTTCTGAACTGCACACCTCTGCATGTTCTTTGTAAGTAAACAAGGCTTTAGGACAAGATTGTTTTTTTTGTACACGAATTGCAAGCTCAGATGAGCTGCTCCTTTCATCACAAATACCTCAGCACAATATTCATGGAGAAGCAGCAAAATGGTTGCCCTGAGTTTCCTGGCTGCAGGAACCATCCAGGGCTGTGTTTCATTCCCTCTCTTAGCAGAGTCAGCAGTTGGGAAACCAATCCTGCCACTCTGTATTGTTGCCAGCTTTTCCTGAAATTCATATTTAAATGAGAAAATCAACATGACCTTCCAGAGTGCACTTCTCAAGTCCTGGCTTTTTGATCCTCTCCTAATTCATGAGGAGAATCCCAGTGACAACTAATGGACAAGAGGAGAGTTGAGATTAAAGCTGCTGCCTCTCACTCCCCAAACCCTACTATGAATGTTAAGAGAAGGGCCAGCAAGGAGAAGCCCTACATTTTTTATGAACTGTATGTTTCCTGTGACCCATATTCTCTCCAACACATGGCTCAAAGAGAAGCCATCTCTGCAAGGCAGGCAGAAAACTAAAGCTGGGTTAAATACTGGAAAAACAGATCTGCAAGTATGTCAGCGAATAAATTACTCAATTCAATGAGGGGCCATTCTATTCATTATTTGTGAACACTAGTAAGATCATTAGTGTTCTTTAATAGGGTGGCCAATTACAAATGTGCCTGGCACTAATGTACAAAGTGCATTATTATAGATCCAGTGACGCAGTCCCAAAGCAGGAAATATCCCCCTCCATAAAAAGGCCAACAACAAACAGAGGAAGCAATTTTCAATTAACAAATTCAAGATTACTAATAGTCTGTGAGCCCTGAAGAAGAATCTAAATTCAACGCACTCCTCTTTGCCTAATTAGTTGGTCATTTGCCATGTCTCACTGCAGCACAGCTTTGGGTATCCTTTATCTCTGAGACCACCAAAAATCAGGGGTGGGAAAGGTAAGGGGTGGGATTTCACCCTTCCCAAGGCATGGATGGGCTGAGGAAAGACATGGTGTGGTTGTAGGCACTGTCAGGGATTGTTGCATCACTCGGGAGGGAGGCAAAACCTCAAAGACAAGGAAGGTCTTGTGAGCAAGTGGCATCAAGGATTGCCTCCTTATGTAAGCAGAGCAGTCCTTGGGAGGTGGAAAAGGCCTGAAATTGGGGATGAGGACCTGCTGTAGCCTCGCCCCTTCTTTCTCTTCACCTTGGACTCTTAGGGCATCTCTAACTCCTTCTCTATGGATAATATTCCCTGAGCTGGCACTGCAAGTTGTAGTTGAGTGTTCAGAAGCACATGATTGGGACCCCAAGCACGTGGCTTTCCACTTTCCGCCCCCACACACCACTCCAGCAGCTCACAGGAGCTCTCCCTTGCTCCAGCCTGCACAGTGCCTGGTGAGCTGTGGCCCTGAGAGGAGCAGCAGTCTCTTGGGAACAACTGGAACACAAACACAAATTGAGCTGTGATGTCCAGCATGGAGCCCACAGAAGGTAATTTTGGAGATGAAGTCAGTTGTGTTGTCACTTCTGCTGGGTGGCAGAAGACAGGACACAGCCATTAACACTGGGAATTAATGAGGTATATAAAAGCAGTACTGAGAAGGTGCTTTTATCTGATCCAAGGACATTTTGTCTCCACAAACAAACAGAATTACTGAGTCAGTCCTTTACTTTCAACACTAGTGATGACTTCAGAACACAAACACCATGGCAGATAGCTTAGACCCTGAAGGTAGGATGAAATCCATCAATCCATATTAAGATACAGAAAGTCCATGCTCTGTCCCCTGGCAATTTTTGAGACATAGTAAGAAGTGACTGGTGTGAAACATGTAGAATGACTCCAGGGATAAATTTCTGCTTGAACCACTGAACGAGAGCCCTTTCTCCATCCCCACCCAGCTGGTGGTTTGTGTGAACTGTGCTACCCGTAGCCTGGGTTTTGTCACTCACAGCTTTCTTCCAGAGCTATTTTCAAACCCTTAAGCAGATGGTTTTACCTCCCCTTGTACAGGATGCTGCAACATCCCAGCAACACTAACCTGCCAAGGGAAAAGACATGAACAGCTCGGTCTTTCTGCACCCAGTGTCCCCCCATCTCCTTCTGCTTCAGCTACCCCTCGCCTCCCACCACCTCATCCTCTTCTCTGAGCAGAAAACAGCCTCCAAGAGCCCATGACTGTTGATTATTCATGTGCCTTACTTGCTTGGCTAAAAGGGACTCTTTCCAACACATGCCAAACCATTTTTGGGTTTGAAACCAGCAGCCCTGACCCAAGAGAGGTTGGTTCACACAAGGAACTCAACCTGGAAGGTGGTGCTTCTTCAGAATAAAGTGGAGCCCACAGGGGGGAAAAAAAACTGTAAAAAAGATAATTCATGTGCACAAATGGAGAAATCTACAGATTTCCAAAGCAGAAAGGTGAATATGACAAGGGGATACACACTTCTGGCTAGAACAGAAGGCAATGCTCAGTGAAGGCTTCAGCATTTGGGATGGGGAGATTTGGGCACAGCTTAATTTGCTTTAAAATTAGAAGCCTAAACAGACAGAGGCTCCCCAATGACTCCTCCCTCTCCCTCCAAAGGAGATTTTAAGCTGTATTCTCATCTTTACTAGGCACAGGAAAAGGTGCCCACGAGAGGCCACCCCTCCCTGCCACTAAAAATCTTCAATCAGAATTTGCAAGAAACACGCTGACAAGAAACCAGGCTTCCTTCATCCTGCTGCTGACAGAGCTGCTTATTTTATATTACATATTTATTGGATGCAAAATTTCTGTACCACCATCCATCTTCCTGTCCTGTTCTTAGACAGCACTGACCTCCTTGGAGGCTGAACCAGAAAAACCCAGGACAAATCCTGCTGTATGAGATCAGCTTGAGGTGCAGCTGGAAGTGTCTGACTGTATGAACAGAAATCTCCCCAAGTTACACTGAATTCACCTGGAAGGGAGACACGTGCACTCCATTCTTAACTAGGAAGTTTATATTCCTCCTTTCTAAGAGTGATAAAAATTGCTGAGCTCTAAGTATTAATTTGTGCTGTGGAGGCCTCACTGTAAGGACAACCAGTTTCTGGAAAGAACAGCTACTTGACTGGGCAAGTGGAAGGAGAAGCAAGTGGAAAAAAGCAAAGTTGGGGTGAATTCTCTTGAGTTAAACTGGATTACACTCAGAGCACCCACAAAGCTGAAAATAAGCCCCTCGGTCACACAGGGTCACACAATGCCCACCCCATTTCCCCTGTCACTTTTTTACCACTTTGCTTCTGCCCCACTCAGCCTCCTATAGATTATTTCCCTGGCAAATTCCCCACTGACCAGGTCTCCTTCCCCATCTCTACTCTCCACGCTTCCATCATCAGGCTCCAGCTCCGTCTCCTGCCCTCACCTCCTCTGAGACCACATGTAATTCCCTTTCTTCATTTATACTTGTTACCTTGAAGGTATTTTTAGCCCATGACCACGTTGCCCCTGAGCCTTCCTTTTCCCAGACTCTGTAAATTTAGCTCTCTTAGTCATTCCTCATGTCTCCCAGCGCTCACATTCTTCCTCCTGACCTCCTTGGTTTTCTGCCTCCTCCTGCACCCACAAGGACCAAAGCCACACCATCAGATTTCCATCACCTCTGTGCTCTTAGACCTCATTCCCTGAGATAAGGCTGCTCCAGGACCTCCTCCCATACCCTGAGGGCCACAAGTTCCTTAGGGGTGACCCCTCAGAGATGTGGAAGACTTCCCACCAGCAACCCCTTTCCAGTGCCTCCAAACCAGCGCTGTGCTCTTCACAAAATACAGCTTATAGCAACAAAACTAACTTGGTCTCACCTAGGAGCAATTCCAGCTTTGCCAGGTTTCAGAGCTTGGAGTCCAGCTCAGGACTGGCTCTGCTCCCA